CCCCAGTGTCACATAACATCGACGTAATTCCCATAAACATATTGAATAATCTCCTGGTTCTCACATAGCCATCAAGTAGATCACTGAGGGGAACTCGGTGTCACATAGCATCGGTACAATTCCCGCACAAACTGAAGCATTAGTTTGGTCTCACATAGCCTTCAAGCCAAGCTTTAACATATCTGACGTACTGAATTGATGAGACTATACATGCATGACTGACACAAACAGACATGGGATAGGTCTGGCAGTATGGTCGGATAAATTTTTGAGCATCTCGGAGCAACACCCCAACCTATGTTAAATACGAAATAGCCTAGAGGTAAGAGCCAGAATTTATGTGCACCAGAAGCTTACATGATTGTACTAAACTGACATAACTACCCATGCATATCTAAGGCCCACGGGCCACATAACACCGACATCACTAACCCAATCCTCGTGAGTGTTTAGGCCTTACACCCTAGTTAGCCCCTGAAACACCTCGCGCACTGACAATGTCCAGTAGGGAAACTAAGGTAACATGGGTATACCTTAACATAGTTGAACTCACTAAGATAAAGTCAATGTCACACTAGCTATTATCTCACTCGTTCTCTCATCTAGAACGTTAGGCGAAGGCTTATTATGTGAGGAACTGGCTAGCCCTATGCCTGGCACAGGTTTGTTTATGAGTAGCGGTAATCTATTTGATCTTATAGTACTTTCCTTCAAAACTTCTTGAACTGAAAAGGACAACTTACTTTCCTGGTTTCACTAACATTCTCGAAGCTCATACTTTTTGAGACTATTGAATCTGACATAATCATCGTACGATTTATCGGATATCTTCTTTAACGATCCTCGGTCCCAACTATCCGTATACGTCCTCAATTTAAGATACTTTGGCGTATTACGCTTAATATGGTTAATCCTAATTTAACCTACTCTTGCGAGTGTTTTTAGCATACTTGGTTGTTTATGTCCATTACAGACTAAGTTTCACTATTATGAATCATTCTTAGCTCTTACAGACCTTAAATGGGTCAAACCTGACCATCCAAAGCGGGTAGTAGCGATACTCTACTTGGAGCATCGATATCCTAGGGTCAAGTATCGATACCCCTATAAGTATCGGTACCAAAAATGTATTATGTTGTGAAATTGGGGTCTCAGTATCGATACTGACACCCTGAGTATCTATACTGTAGCCTCAAAATCCCTAATATTTGTCCTAATTCATCAAGTATCGATAATGTTAATCCTAGTATTGATACTCGAACCCTAAAAGGATTATTTTAAGGCTCAAAAAACACTTGAAAATCATCCTAAAGGCCATAGTTTATTTTAAATCATGCACCAATGTTATGGATAGTTATCTAGGGTCTTAAGGTGTCATAAAATACATACTAAACATCAAATTCGTGATTTATGGCACGAATCAAAAGTAAAACAAATGAACATCCTTTAGCTAGCAATCACCCTCTTTTTATTACAAAATAAAACCCAAAGCTTAATCTTTAAAAATGAGGTTACCAGGGGTTTATTAGGACAAAAATGAAGTATAAAAGAATTCAAAAATGGAGAGAGAATGAATAAAGAAGAGAAAAGAAGAAGATGGAGAGGAATATGAGATGCCCACGTCCAAAATAAAGTAAAACCCCAAATATCAGCTTCAAATTCCATCAACGGTATAATTGCACTTTTGGTCTTTCACATTTTGTCCCTTATTTAAAAATCCTTTTTTTATGGCTAATTGGGCCCCAAAACAAACCCAATTAAGCTAAATAACTTAATTTTATAAAATTCACGAGGTTCACCTACCTCTCGGGTAAACCCGAAACTACTAGTCCGAAATTTGGAGTGTTACATGTAAAATTTTTACTAAATTTCAAAAAAGGAAATCTTTTAAAAGTTATGTGACATCTCTGACTCGTTTTCGAAGTCGAATATGGGAATAGGGTGTTACAAGATGCCTATTTTTCCGCTCGGCTATCTCATTTTGTTGAGGAGAGTTGACACATGAAGTAATATGAAAATCCTTTTTTCCCTGAAAGAAATATCCCGAAGTCTTGGCAAAATACTCACTGCCATTGTCAGAATGAAATATTTGGATTGAACTCTACAATTGATTTTCAACCATCTTTTGGAACATTTTAAAGATTTCACTAGCCTCAGATTTTGTTTTCATGAGGTATGTCCAAGTGGTTCAAGTATGATCATCGATAAAAGAGATAAAACACCAAAAACCCTACATTGTTTCTACTTGGGAGGGTCCCCAAATGTCACTGTGAATCATTGCAATGTTTAGGATGGTTTGTATGGCGAATATGGATAAATAGTTTTTGTTTGCTTTGCAAGAGGAAAAACATCATAAGAAAAAGTTGTTGGACTTTTATTGATAAATAAATGGGGAAACAACTTTGCAAGATAAAAGAAACTTGGGTGTCTTAAGCGAAAATGCAATAACATAATGTCAGTGGAAGTATCTACCAAGGAGGTTTGTGATGCAAGACTGGAAGGGATATGTTGTTTGATGGTTATCGGAAGTAGGTAAAGTTCCCCACAAAACTTAGCACTCCCAATCACCGCCTCTCAACTCGAATCTTGAAATTAACAAACATCATAGTCAAATGTCGTGGTACAGTTTAAATCGATAGGTAACTTGCTAATAGAAATAAGATTGCAAGCAGGATTTGGAACTTAAAGAACACGTGATAGTAGGATGTTCGAATTAATCCTAACAGTCCCATCTCCAATAACACGCGAAAGGGAACAAATATGTTGTCCGAATCTAAGAAATAGATGAGTCTTTATTGAAGGATTGAAAGAGCCAAATATCACCTGTCATACGGTCACTTGCACTATAGTCTACAATCCATATAGGAGTCTTGGATTTGTGAGCCAAAGTAGCAATGGAAACGTTACCTACAGAAGAAGAGGATGTCGGTGCAGACAGATGTAATTGGCCAAAGGGTTTATGAAATTATTCTATTTGTTTTGCGATGAACGACCTTTCTTCTGATACAGTAGACATGGAACAATTTCCCTGAGTGTCGTGTTGTGACTGTTGCTTGGAAGATTTCCCATTAGTCGGTTTGCCGTGTAGTTTCCAATAATTGTCCTTCACATGTTCAACCTTCTTACATTAATCACACCATGGTCTCCCTTCTTAGGGTAAGAGTTTTTATGAGACTGAGTAAGTAATCCAGATCCTTCAGTGGATACAGGATCCGGAAGCATTAGTGTGCATCGACTCTCTTCTCGTCTGACTTCAAAAAATACCTCCCGAATTGAAGGAATAGGTTTACGGCCTAAAATTCTTCCTCGAACTTGTCAAGGTCTTGATGCAACTGGATAAGAATTGGAATATTCGACTTTTTCCATGATTTGTTTAAACAATCGGGCATCATCCATACATCTCCATTAGTGAGATTCGAAAAAATCCAGTTGTTGTCATAATTGGGACATGAGAGTAGAATACTGGGTGACATTTATATTGTCCTTCTTCAGATTAGCAACTTGACATTCATATTGTCTTGCTTCAGATTAGCAGCTTGACATTCAATCCCAAACAATTGTTTCATAGAGTAGAAAAGTTTTGCCTACCTCCGGGCTCCGGGTTTATGTAGTTGATGAGTCATGACATCACCATGGTATTTTCACTAAGCCAATTTGAGTATCTGGGATCATCGACAACAGGTATTAGTGTGGACTCCAAGAGAAGATACTGTTTGCGACGGTCAATGATGTAGAGGTGAACCGATTGGGACCAAGGGATGTAATTGTCACCGTTTAACCGATGACAAGTGATAGAAGCAGAAGAATTCTCAGCAAAAATCAAATGAGGCAAGGGAGAGAGAACCTCTGAGATATCATCCGAGGAGTTAGCAGCTGTCATGGTTGACGTTGGCTGGGTGGAGAAGCAAATTGAGGGCTTGGGATATGTATCGAACTAGCATGGAACACTGCTATAAGTGAAAATAGGAGAATTGAGGAGATCGACGCTACGATGACTGTCGTACGGGCTGTGCGGCGAGGAGACAGGGCTGGCTGGGGAGTTACCAAACGGTGGCAAAAGCAGATGGGTCTTGTTGAATGGCCGTAATAAATGGGAAGTGCTACAGTTGTGATGAGGGCAGCGCTGTAACAGAGACACCACGAGGAAGGCACCGTGAGGAGGATGGGTCGTGCTGCAAAGGTGACGGTCCAACGAGGAATTCACCAACGGTGGTGCTGCGGCGGGGACTGCACTACAGAGAAGACGGTGCTGCAATGAAGGCGCACTGCCGATCGGAGGTTTGTCACACGACGACAGGAGTAAATTTATGATCGACTCCTGATAACATGTAAATAACCGTAAAAGCCAGAGAATAGGAAGAAAATAATTCTCTTGATAATTGTTATTGAATTTACGGGAGTACATGCCTACTCTTATACAATTCATGGAGTTAGTTTACTACTAGAACTATATTACCTTGTAGTCTTACTCTAGTACAATATCCTAATTTTTAGGATTAGAGTTAGAATTAATCTAGGAAAACCTATTCAATCGTACAACTAACAAAGTGTATTTCAGATAATTCAAATAATGAACTCTTTAGGAAGGACCTGCATAATAGTTCTCTGGTGAGTCCTAAATCTTGAATTTCCAAATAGTTAATAAGGATCTTCTTTCTTGATGCTATAATATGTTCTTTCGACTTCATATGAAGACCTGCACTCATGATATCTTTCTTTTCCCAACCATTATCATCTTATGATTATGCAGTCTTTCCTTGGATTGTCATCCTTGAAGGTGAAGGATCACCATAGGAAACTGGTCTCTAGAACTCTATCATCGCTTTTCTTACTGAGACTGATGCGACTAGAGTTTGTCAACTCAATAACAAAGATAGTCCATGACCTATTTCGACATCTACGTCAGACATCAGTGGCTACAAGCTTACCTTTTGCCTGCTTATCTAATTCGTTGAATAAACTAACTCCATGAATTGTATAAAAGTAGTTCATTATTTACATAAGCACAATGACAGAATAGTTCAGAGTAAGTAGTTCTTACCAGAGCTCGTTTTAACTCTTCCTTTTTTTCTAATAGCTCATCATTTACATAAGCTGCCATAGATGCCTTTGAAATTTCTTTTTTGGGTGACAGAGAAACATGCAAAAACTCAGGGAAGGAGCACAAATGCAAGTTTTGGAGTCTGATTATATTATCATTTGTGGTTTAAACGGTCGTCTGTCTTTCATTCTAAAGCAACTAGATCGATCTCATCAATTCGCTGTGCGTTTAGGGACTGCTACAGCAACGTAAACATTATGCCTCCACCGTATTTTTTATTTCCTCTTTTTCATGCATAATTATTCGTTTCGACACAAATTATATTTTCATAGGAGGCAGAGAATTCTTCTTATGTCAGATCTTCCGAGAAAGCAAATGGACAAACTAACTGACAACACTGCCAAGGATCTTAACCATATTGATGTCCTTACAAAGAGGTACAAGAACAATGCCCTATTCCCCAAACATACAAACTTCATAAAACGTATTTGATTCGAAGTGTATTCGATTCGTTGCATTAAGTTTCCATTTCTTAAACATTGGCTTCTGCTTGTGCAGTTGTAGCCTTAGTTTGACAAAATCCTTTCAGAGAGCAGCAGCCAATAAGGCACGCGCCATTTTCATATTGCCTACAAGAGGAGACCAGTAAGACCTCTATTGACTTCTTTTCAAAGAACCATGTTGCGAAGTTTAGTTGAAGATTTACGTAATAATATTATGTTTCCAGGCTTTGTTACGCTCACGTTTAGTGATTACTGTTTGTTAACTGATTAGGTATGGAATTGATTCTGATGCATTTCTATCTGTATTAGCACTTCAACCTATTCCCAAGATCGAATCTGTACCGACAATTGTCGAGGTATTTTCATTTGCATAACCATGGGAATAATAGTACTCGATGAGAAATGTCGAGTTTAATTTTGGACCCTTTTTCTGATGCAGGTTTCAAATTCCACTACATGTGAGCTCTTAAAGTCAATCTCCGGACTGAAAGTAGAGCCAGTAGAAAATGACGCTTCTAAACTATTTGTTCAATGTTCTCGGCAAAAGGGGCTCATTAAGATATATAGGCACTTATTTATAAAAGTAAAGCACAAGATCTCATTGACAGTTATTATTGTGATGTTGGAAAGACACAGAGCATAAGTGCATAACGATTATGATATCATGTTTACTTCTCGACTCTTAGATATTTCAGGATGGTTCTGATTCCTTTAGCTCGACCTATAAAACTCTGGATCGTTGTCCATGTCGTTGTGCTCTACCTTTCTTCACCGGCACTAACTAGTGCCGTGTTATTGCAGAGAACGTATTCAATCTTTGCCGTTTTCCTAGTCTAACAGGACTGACTAATAGAAGAATAAGACGGGGTTTCCATGTCGTAACACTTTCGCTTAACTTTGTGTTCATAGAGGTAAGAACTTCCGTGCTGTTTCCTTGTGTTGGTTTCTTTTCAGGCAGTTGTTTGTGGTATTTTCGGGATGGTCAGATATACTTCCATCCCAAGGATGATGAAATTCTTAAGGAAACTGACGAAGTATGTCAACTTGAACTTTTTACGTTTGTGTTCCTCCGCATTTAAAAGTTAAGCTCTGCAATTTAGCATCAATAGATATTATCATGCAGATATACTGGTCTCTGTAAATCACTTCGTTCTGTAGGATGGACTGTGGTTTGCAGGACTTAAATGTAATCTTTCCTTTTGGAACAGAAATATGACTTGTCGATTTATCGGATAGCTAAACCTCGTACCCTTGAAGAAATCATTATAGCTTTTTATGTCCACGTATCTTTTTTTTTAAATAATTATGTCTATGTATCTGAATGTGTGCTACTGTAGAGAGTTTCTTCAACTTCTTGAAATGGAGCAATACTACTACTTATATATTCTCTTTTATTCACGTAGGTATTGCTAATTGCACTGTAGACATTAAATTTTTTGTCCATTACTCATTATTTATTATTTATTTTTTTTATTATATTTTATTATTACTATAATAATTTTATTATTATTATTATTATTAAATAAATTTTATTATTTCAGATCCAAAATACAAACAGCCCCAACCCAAATACATAAGCCCATATTCTGTGGCCTAAAGGAAACCCTAAATCTAATTAGGGTTTATGTTTCATGCCTCAACTGTCATCCATCATCAGCCGTTGGATCTGATTAGATCCAACGGTCCCCGGATGTGCCAGAAGAAACCCTAGGGTTATGATACCCTAGGGTCACGTCGCCGCTTCCTCTTCCACGCCACTGCCGTCGCCTCCAATAACGCTCCACCTGCTGGCACGCCTCGCCGAAGTATCCAGAAGACTCAAGGATGCCGTCCACGTCGCTGCCCTATGGTGAGTCACCACCTAGTTTGGTGACTCACATCGAGGGCCATTCTTTACCCGGTTCGAAGCCATCACCAATGATGGTTATAAATACCATCGACCACGTCGACAAACAAAAAGTAAAACGGAGGACAGCAAACAACAACCAGAAAAAAAAAGGAGAAGAGGAAGAGACCACAACAACAACGAACGAGAGAGACAGAGAGCAGAAAACGAACAAACAAACAACACCCAACAGTAGCCAAATAAAGAAGGAGAAGAGAACAGAAGCTTACCAAGGAAACTACATAATCATCGGAGCCTTCCACGCGTCCTCACACTCCGTCGGAGATACGAAAAATCGAAGGTAGTAATCGTAGAATTACTACGTTTGGTGGGGTTTTAGGTTAAAACAACCTCAAAATAGTTTTTAGGACTCTGAGATCTATATTTTGGGGTAGGTTAGAAAAATTCGGCCATCGTGAACGGTGGCCGGCGGCGACGATTATCACCGGAGCACAGCGGCCGACGAATGGCCAACTCTCTTCCTCGATGAGTGTATTTAGAGAGAATGGGGAGAATCTCTCAGTTAGAGAGAAAAGGAAAGAAGAAAGAAATGAGAAATGGCCATTATGGCCGGCCATAAAGGGTTTAAATACCCCTTCCCAAACGACGACGTTTTGGGGAGGGGTATGTGCGTAATTTCACTAACCCTTTCTGCAGTACCCACAATTTTGTAATCTTCTATTTTAGTCACTGAAATCTATTGTTAAGTCTTTTAATTCAGTTTCTTAATTTTTTGTTTATTATAATTTACTCCCTAAACATAATTATATATATATTAAGGAAAATAACCGAATTAGCCATTATAATTTTGTTAAATAATGTTTTAGTCCCGGACAGTATGTTTTAATTTATTTTAATTTAATATTCGAATTTGATATAAGTTTATTTTAGTCCCTAAATTAAATAAATGTAAAATAACATGTTTAGTCTCTGTGATTTTAAATAAATAATTATGAATTAGTGTATCTAATTTTAATATGTTATAATTTAGCCACTAGTTTTAATATTTTAATTTATTTTTATTTTAATTGTTTTTTTAAATATATAAGTTTTACTTTTATTTATTCATTGTTTAATTTTTTTATGTTTAACTTTTTATTATTACTATTATTATTATTATTTAGTCATATAAATATATATATATATATATAATAAATAATATTTATTTATTTATTCTATTTGTTTTCTATTAAAATCCTATTTATAAATTTTATTTTATAAATTACTTTTAAAATAATCATATTTTAATATATATTTATTTTTCAATATTAAGAAAAGGCAGTCTTAAAGCAACTAGATGTCTATTTTCTGATATTTTTAAATAAATAAATATCATATTTTAATAAATTATATATATTAATTTATTTTAATTATTTTTAGAGAAATGTTTTATTAATATTTATTTATTTTTTAATATTAAGAAATGGGCTATCTTAAAGCACCTAGAATTCCTTTTCTGATATTTCTAAGTAAATAAATATCTTATTTATATATAAATATTTTCTTAAAATTATACTAATAAATTTGAAATAATAGGATTATGAATTAAATATATATTTGAATTCTTAAATTTCCAATAATAGAGACAATTTATAATTAATGAGTACCAATTTTGGGCATTATAGAGGTGCTAATCATTCCCTAAATGTAAACGACCACGAATCCTTTTTTACTAAAATTTTTGGTTATACGCAGATCAGTTTATCTTTTAAATTATGTTTTCTTCAAAACTATTTTAAAAGATTGTTTTTAGGTATTTGACCTACCTAACCCAAAAAAAGGTCAATGGCGACTCCCAAAACAATTTTTAAATCAAAATAATTTATTTATTCATTTTAGTTTCCCCGCCAAGTAAAAATTTCGTGCCCGGGCGAAAACCGGTTACGATAGGTTGGCGACTCCCTGGGGAACTGGTCAAGATTTGAAATTAATTATAAATTGTATCTATCAATTAGAAATTAAAAATTCATATGTTTAATTTATAATTCTTTCCTTTCAAATTTTTTATATATATACTTATTATTTTCATAATATTTTATATATTCTTTTTTATTAATATCTTTATTTTATTTTCATGTATTAAATTTCATTATTTATTTGTTTGTCAAAGGTTTGAATATTTCTCCTCACACACAACACGTTCATTGCATAACATAAGCTTTATAATCAAGCTTGTCCCTTTTAAGCGGGAGTGAAAGCGACGTCTTCGTGAGAATTTATTCTCCGTGTTAGATCTAGCAAGTAACTTTCGGGGTTCATATGCTCTATGTCTTCGTGAGAATTTATTCTCCGTGTCAGACATAGAGAAATGTGTCCCCTCGAATTGAACTCAGCCCGCTTAAGTTCGTAATGGACTAGGATTGAGGGATTGGGAGCCCAAGGGGCACCAACAAGGACAGTTCGAGTACCTTTACTCCTAGAACTGAAACTCTGCATATAATAAACCCTAGAAATTCTCCTGATCTAAGATAATACTGAAACTCTGTCCGTAGATGTACACAAAGGAGAAATAAGCTCTAACTTTTAATTTATTATTTTTCTCTCTGAATAAATGCCTATGAACTAGTAATCATGCGGTTAGGTTAATTTTTCCAAACAAAGCATGGACCTAGAAAGCATGATGTTAGGATTTATACCTTGATAGATAGAATTTTTTTTGTCTTTCCATTAATTGGTACTAACCATTTTATTTTTCTTCTTATTTTTCATACATTTTGTTTTGCTCTAACTTGTTTATATTGATTTCTTTTGTTTACATTGCATGATCATAGCATAACCAAAAGGTGTTGACTTGAACGACTGTTTATCAAATTGGAAAGAATTCATAAATGGACAAAAAATTTTATAATCAAACAAAATATGACGCAGCCAAAAAAAGACATCCTGGAGAAACTCCAAGGATCGAGGGGAGTTCTTCACACAAATATCCGGTTATATTAATACCAAAAGTATTACACAAAGATCCTCCCAGATTGATACCAAAAGCAGTCTACGGTAAAAGCATCAGTCAGGCATTCAGAATAAAGGAGGTTTTTATGAAGCTCAAGCATGTTATTTGAATGATCAAAACAAGAAATTGAGCACAGAAATGGAAACCATGCATGAAGATTTCCAGAAGGTCAGTCAAGCCTTTCAAAATGATGGCATAAAAAACACCAGAAGAGTGGATAACAAGGGTCACCAAGCTAAAAAAGAACTGCAACATATACGAAGATCTTGTCCAAGAACTTTTTGAACACAAAGGTTCTCTTACAAGGAAAAATGAGCAATTCCGAGAATTGACACATAAGATTAAGGAAAAAGACAATATCATGAAGAAAGATGCTGTTCAAGCAAACAATGTGGCTCATAAGCTGGTATACTTAGCTGGCTTCACAAGAGAATTAAAGAAAATTGATGACTCCACAACTAAGCATAAGTGGAAGTTAAATTGGCTTTTAAGGGAAATAGAGAAATTAGGAGTGAAAATTGTCCCCTACATGTAAAAATTTTGTTTGTGGCATGGAAACTTTTGTGTTCAATAAAATTTGTTCTAAGATGATTACTCTTGAGTAACACCTTTTCATACATGCATTTGCATTTTGCATCTTCGCATTTTCATTTTACATTAGTACTTTTATGTTTTCTTTTGCATTGCACAATTTTCTTATGCATTTGTATTTTTGTATTTTTACGTTGTATTTACATTTTCATTTTATATTTGCATATTTTGCATTCTTATTTTTTCATTTATGCATTTTCTCATTTATATTACATTTTTTATTTTTTTATGTATTGTTATATACATTAATGATAAAAACATGTAAATAATTCATAGAAGCTTTTCTAACAGTAAAATCGAGACCATTCATTCATATTACTTTACCATCATCATGAAAACAATGGAGCAATCTTATGAGGGACTACAAGATCAATGGTCAGAACAATTGACAGGGTTACCTCATGATACAACAAAAGAAGCATCAGATTCAGTACCAGATGGATCTAATCAAATTATTCATTGGATGTCATCTGATAAAGAAGAGATAACCGATAAAGAGCAACCATGCTGTCAGATTGAAGAGTCAAGAATGATAACATACCCTGTGGTATCCCACCTGAGCTCAATTTGGTTCCAGATTTGG